CGACCCCCGCGGGGCCCGTCTGGACCGCGGTGTTCGACTACGAGGCGGCGGGCGACGAGGAGCTGACCCTGCGGAGGGGCGATCGCGTCCAGGTGCTTTCCCAAGACTGTGCGGTGTCCGGCGATGAGGGCTGGTGGACCGGGCAGCTCCCCAGCGGCCGCGTGGGCGTCTTCCCCAGCAACTACGTGGCTCCTGGCGCTCGTGCTGCACCCGCGGGCCTCCAGCTGCCCCAGGAGATCCCCTTCCACGAGCTGCAGCTAGAGGAGATCATCGGTGTGGGGGGCTTTGGCAAGGTCTATCGGGCTGTGTGGCGTGGCGAGGAGGTGGCCGTCAAGGCCGCCCGGCTGGACCCTGAGAAGGACCCGGCAGTGACAGCGGAGCAGGTGTGCCAGGAAGCCCGGCTCTTTGGAGCCCTGCAGCACCCCAACATCATTGCCCTTAGGGGCGCCTGCCTCAACCCCCCACACCTCTGCCTAGTGATGGAGTATGCCCGGGGTGGCGCACTGAGCAGGGTGCTGGCAGGTCGCCGGGTGCCACCTCACGTGCTGGTCAACTGGGCTGTGCAGGTGGCCCGGGGCATGAACTACCTACACAATGGTGCCCCTGTGCCCATCATCCACCGGGACCTCAAGTCCATCAACAGTAAGTGGTGTCCTCTCCCCAAAATTCCTCCCACAGAACCTCTGGAGGCCAGGCCTAGGTGGTGGGAAACAGGGTGAGGGACACCAGATGACACTGTGCCTGGAGCGAAAAGGGGCAGCAGTATGGTACCTTCAGGATGAAGGTGAGGTAGGCCTTGCCGGCCTTAAGGGAGAAAAAGGAGGCTCAGAAAGGTTGAAGGACTTAACTGCCTCCCAGGCTGCAGAGTCACAATCGCTCAATAAACATGTATCCATGAACACCTGTGTTCCTGCGTGAACAGGACAGATGCAGTGCCTGCCTTCAAGGTGCTCGCCATCCAGCCATGCTGCCAGAGTCCACCAGGCAGAGACAAAAAGAGGCTACCCCATCTGGAGTCAGTGTCTCTCAACCCCAGCACTATTGGCACTAGAGGCCGGATCATTGTTGTAGAGGCTGTCCTGTGAATTGTGAGTTGCTTAGCGGCATCTTCAGCCTCTTCCAGCTAGATGCCATTAGCATTCCCTGCCCCCTATCCCCAGCTATGACAACCAAAAATGTCTCCAGGCATTGCAAATGTCCCCTGGGGGGCAGAATCACCCCCCAGTTGAGAACCATTTCCTGGAGTCTTCGTAGGCCCAGCTGGCCAAGGCAAACTGGAAAAGACGAGGGAGGAATTAAATGGATGTGGCTTATATAAAAGCTTCCAGGCGGCCTGACAGGTTCTCCAAAGTTGATTGGTTGGTTGAATAAATAATGGAGCCAGGTAGAAGGGAACGTTCTACCGGACTCATTTCTAGATCAAGGAGCTTCATGTGGCGTCAGCAAGTATTAACTGAGCACCTATTAAGTAGGAGCCCAACTGAGACTAAGATAGTCATGGTTTCTGCCCTGAAGGTACTCACAGGTTAGCAATTTCATTCATTCATTCCACAGATATTTCCAAAGTGCTGTGTGCCAGATCCTGTCCCAGGGATACAGCAAGAAAAAAATCTTACATTCCTGGCTCTCCCATTCTTGCTCTGCCCCATCTCACTCCCTTTCATTTCTTCATTTATTTGTTAATTCTTCCATTTGGTATTTACCAGGCCAGATCATGTGCTAAGCAGAGGCATCAGCAGTGGAGGAAGCCAGCGTGTCCCCGGCCCTCACATCACTCACACTTAAGCCCTGAAATGTGAGGGTGCCCCCTTTGCTCTCAACACCCACATCTCATCTACTCCTGATTTCTGTCATCTTGAAATTTACTTTAATCCATCCCACTATTTTTATGAATATATTGCTATTCCCTCACATATAGCAATTGTAAGCCCCTAGAATGGAGGGACTGCATCTTCCTTGCCTCCCAAGCCTGACATTTGTGTATCAACAGAGAGCTTGGCTGGGCGCAGTGGCTCACGCCTGTAATCCCAGCACCTTGGGATGCCGAGGTGGGTGCATCATCTGAGGTCAGGAGTTTGAGACCAGCCTGACCAATATGGTGAA